CTTGCAACCAACATGACGTCATACATTAGCGGACATATTCACACTCATTTACACATCAAACAAATTGAAATATAATAGGTTTTGTTTGTGAAAACACCACGTAAATTTATTACTGCAATTTACGTGGTGTTTCCACAAACAAAACCTATTATATTTTATCACCATGCAAACATACAAAGAACTTATTAAATTGAAGTATCTCGGGAACAAACCATAAAAATAAGAAACTGAAAAATAAGTTACACTACAACTTAAAGAGTTCTTTCATTTAAAAAAATAAGAAATTTCGTGTCATATGCACTTTAACAGGGCTCTATTTACACTTAAAATACTCATTTGTAATTCATACACCTTGTGGCAAATCATGTCAGCCATAATATGTCACGTGGAGTGACTTTATATCTGATAAAACATGTGGCATTATATTAATTGTTCATCCTAATTAGTATGATTATATAATGGTTCATCCTAATTAGTATTCTTTTGTAGTCACGCCTATGAAGGGGTCATGAATAAAAGCCTGTACAGGTTTCCAATGGCCTCTAGCCATATAAGATATCTATGCCTCTAGCCATCTGTAATATAATATCTAACAATTATTCGCCGAAGGCGAGGTGATTATCGAGGAATATTCGCCGAGACGAAGTCGAGGTCATAGGCGAACACTTTTAAAATTCGTGATGGAATACATTACTGTCCGGGCCCCTAGCCTTATTAGTCTGAAGTTTTAATGAGGATGAATTGAGGGAGCACCGCAGCTGGTAAGAATGCATTCGGGACTGCAAAAATATTTTGAAGGAAGATATTCCTTGACCAACAATGTGAAATCCCTTCTGACGATGCTGCTGAAAATCCCAATTCCCAAATGAGACAAAGCTTCTGGGAACCTAACTTTGTAATTCTCAATCATTCAGGCCATAAATTACCAAAAACATGCCTAACCCACGTTTTAAGGAAATTGTACTAAATCTGAGGGATTTTTTACCGAGAATTTAAGGAATTCCCAGGCAACGGAGGTGAACAACAGCAGGTCACGCTGGCTTGTCACGCCACCTCATGCGAATTTATATTAACTTATTTGTCATGTAAATTTGTTGACTATTGAGAACAATATTAAAACTCTGGTATTTTACATATTAAAACTCTGGTATTTTACATTTTAATTAAAGCTTTCAAAATTGTTGTGTAAAGGCTTTCTTTTTAAGATTTGTACGAAAGAAATGTACCATTCCGTTTCTGCTCTATATAAGTATTGATGTATTCTAGTTGCCAAAATATACTTGATTAATGGATGTTTAATATTCCAAAGCTCTCGCTCGCTTATAAATACCCACAGAGAGCCGGGCATACAGGCTAGGCTATGAAGCCGAACAACACTAATTATGGCACAAAAAAATCTGTATTTTGATTTTTAGTTTAATGATTTTCACGGCAATATACAGGGTTCTCTTTACTGGTGAAAATATCGTGGAACGGTTAGCGTCCGGAAGCCGTCTGATGACTCTGACCAGTACTTCGACAACGACAAAAAAGTTCCTGTACCTAGTTATGGGGAAGAAATGCCTTCCTGTACATATGAGAGGGGAAAGCAACATTGGCAACGGGCATACATGCAACTGTGATATTATTATGTTCGGTTACAAAGAGAAATGTCACGAAGCGAAGAATGCGAATTTGGAACATGTAGAGTACATCCACCGAGATGGCACAACTTGGAACACAGGCAGGAACTACCTTTACGAGCACGCCATGAAGAGAGAAACCGTGTACCTCTACTACATATTTGTGGACGGGGACGCAACTCTGCGGCCAAATGCCGATACCAACGCCAATGTGACCTCTCTTGGCTTATGGCGATCTTTTGAGAATTTCCTAGTGGAATACGAACCCGCAGTAGGAATTACAACGTATTGCCATAATATTCACCATCCATGCTTTAAGCAGAGAAATAAACCTGGCGGAAACGGTGTCTATGTTCTCTCAGGATGGCTTTTTGATGCATGTTTCAATGCATTTCATCGCGACGCCCTGCCGTATCTGCTGCCGTATAATCTTAAGCATGAAAAGGCAAGTTGGTGTTATAGTCAGCATTATGTCGCAACGCTAGCCAAACATTATTTCTCCGGCTCTGTCCTCATTTATGGCAACGTGAACATTATGAACGGTGGACACAGAGACTACCCTCGAACTTCCGACTCGAAGCGTTTTAAGGAGCAACATCGCGTCATCAGCAAATATGTGGAAAAGATAACAAAGTCTCGAAAGAAGCCAGAATGGAAAAGTCGTATAAATGTTTCAGAAACAATGGACAAGCATTTTTGCAAGTGTTAACGAACATGTAAAGACCGGCGCACACTAGAGCTATGTCGTGACTGTTGGCGCAAGGAGATAGCTCTCGTGCAGGGCGCTTATATATAAGCGCCCTGCTCTCGTGTGTGGGCGATTTACGAACGATTTTTGTCATTCGTGCCACATACGCCAAATATCTAACATGTTTGATAATTTCTGCCTCGCGTGCCAAAATATTTAAAGTGCGTCGAACGAAAGCTATCTGCTTACGGATTGTCGTAACAGCGCATGCGTAGTATACGAAAGTAAACATCCAATATGGCGGCGCAAAATGAATTGCTGGCTGAGGCAATTTTAGAAGACAAACTTGTCGTGATATTTAGATTCATGTTAGATATTTGCCGTAAGTGGCACGAATGACAAAAGTCGTTCGTAAATCGCCCGCACATGAGAGCTATCTCCTTACGCCATTGGGCAAGTGTGACATTTGGCTAAGCACATAGGCCATAGTACCAGAGCTCTCATTTTTAAGGAAATTTCCTTAAACTGAGGAAATTCTGCTTTTTAAGGGGACTTATAGTTTTTATCTATTAATATTTGAAATTATTATATAAACATAAGTGTTATATAGAGATTTTGGCCACTGAGAAAAATCGTATTTAAACACACGTAAAAAATACGATATTTTTACGTGTGAAAATATCATTTGTTGTAAAACGCATTGCCACGGATGTTTTATTGTTTTTCACTGAATTTTGTTTATATAATAAACAGATGCACCGCGCACCCATGTATTATTCTCTATTTATTATATAGTAGAGAGTGAGATACTGAAAAATACACAGTGAGATATTTTCCATATCTTCACTAGTGAAGATATCGCCGATCACGTGACTTTTTCCAATTTACTTTTGATTCCTGTTGCAATTCGCTGCGCTCGTTCGTAAAATATTGTTTTCACCACAAATATCTTCGCGCCGCCCGGTATAATAATACCCTCTATATATTGAAATAATATTTTAAAAATCAGTCAATGTAGCTGTTATTTATGCAAAAAATACTTTCTGAAAATGCAGGAAATCCAGCGGTCTTATTGTAAAATCGTCGCGCTCGAAAGCGAATTGCGAAGTTATTTACAACATTAAAATGTGCCTTGTATTACATGCATTATGTTAGAACAATTGTTTTACGAATCTATGAATTAATACAGAAAGATAAATGTACTTTTATATTTACAAAATTTACAAATTATGCGATCGAAGACACATTGCAGGAAAAAAGCTTTTCTTAAAGCGCTCTGTCTTACAAGGAAACAGTGTTAGTCTATTTCCGTACCTTAAATTGCAATTGTGTTCATTGGCCCGAGACTGTGGTATTAAATGATTAAGGCGTGAATCAGGCTGCCTCATTTTGTCAAAAGTTTTTGTGCACAAAGCATCACGTCTAGCGCGTAATGTCGAAAATTTGGCTTGGTCCAGAGCAGCGTCATAGCTTAATGTGGGATAGATTATTCGCACTGTGCGCTTCTGGACCCGTTCAATTTTATCTGACAAGTTGATGGTCAATGATGAATGCCATACCGGACAGCAGTACTCGAGCAGGGATCTAGTAAATAAGTGCAAAATATACTCGTAGCAAATGTAACGGTGAAACTCCACTGCGCTTGAGAACTCGTAAGATGTGTAATCTTTTTTATGCTTTGGTTACATCTCACTGGTATGCAAATCCCACTTCAGATTATTCTGGATCGTTAAACCTAATACTTTGTGGGATTCTAGTCTTTCAAGACTAATGTTTTCAACAACTAAGGTGGGTGGTGGCTGCTCAATATCTCGTCGAAAGGAGACGATCATCTCTTTACACTTTTTGGGGTTCAATTTCATATTATTGGTACTTGTCCAATTACCAATTGCGTCCAATTCGTTTTGTACTATAGATACCTCTCTTGTTGGAACAATCTCAGATATCGTCACGTCGTCTACGTACTTCCAATTACTGGAACGCGGGGATACTATTTTCAAATCATCAATCATTATGACAAAAAGGATTGGACCCAATTTGGTACCCTGTGGGACCCCAGCACTAGTTGAAAGCCATCGGGACACGCACTGTCCCAGCTTAACACACTGGCGGCGATTTGAAAGGAAGCTACAAATCCAAGGGATTATTGAATGGCGCACTCCCAAATCGATCAATTTTGTTATAACAATATTGTGGTCTATTTAATTTAATTTAATTTAATTTAATTTAATCATTTGTCACAACACAATCATTACGCACACATCTACAATAAACAGAGGACATAAGTGTGACTGGGGAAAGGAACAGGACTTGCGTCCCAATTGACACCTGACCCCAACATTATAACTAGACTTTGCTGCTTGTTGCACACCGAGCACAATGACTTTTCGCATGCATGATTCGTGACAAAAGTACTGAGGTACACATGGGAATAGGTCATTAGTAAGTGAATGTCAATATTTCTAACTATTTCTCGAACAAATCACTAGCCTAACCAAAAACTTATTTTGCAACAGAATCCTATGGAGCCTCAGGAAGGCCGTGAGACCAAGTAAACAACAAGCAGCCAAGCACGTTAGTACAGTACATTACACAAATAACTTTTATAACTTATAGATCTAAGTAAAGCCAGGAGGACTGTAAGAAATTAACTTAGAAACATAATGTTTACGTATACTAATCTTGAAAGAGTTAAGCGAACCACAGATTTTTAGATCTGCTGGTAGGCTGTTCCACAGACTTGCAGATCTGACAAAGAACGAGTTTCTAAAGTACTGCTGTTTATGTTTTAAGAGGAAATAGTAATTATTTTCATTATAATTGCGAGATCTAAAACCAGGCTCGTACAAACATAAAAAGTTATTAACGTCCATAGGAATGAGTCCGGTTTTTGACTTATACAGTAAAATCAAGTCCGTGATCTCTCTGCGGAATTCTAACGGAAGGAGGTTGGTTGTGATCAATCTTTCGGTGTACGACATTTCCTTTGGGTAATTTAGAATGAACTTCGTTGCTCTCCGCTGAACGTTCTCGATTAATGATCGATGTTTAACGGCTCTGGGTGACCACACGTTACTAGCATACTCTAACTTGGGTCTGACGAGGGTGCAGTACAATAATCTCCTTGTAGCGAAATCAGTTATGCCCTTGCTTATCCTTTTAATGAGACCCAGTGTCTTGTTGGCTTTTGCTGCAATGTTCTCGATGTGTTTAAACCACGATAAATCGCTAGAGACTGTGATACCAAGGTCCGAGATATGCGTAACTTGTTCGAGTTGCTGTCCAGTAAGAATATAGGATGTTTCAGTTTTCAATTTCTTTCTGGAGAAGTGCATAACTTTGCATTTCGTCGTGTTAAAATCCATTTTCATATCAACGCTCCATATCTGTAGGCTGTCAAGGTCGTGCTGGAGCGATGTACTAGCGTTAGGGAGGTCAAGAGATCTGTACAGTTTAGAATCGTCGGCAAAGAGTGCGAGTGTCGAGTTTGCTTGTATGTAATTTTGAACGTCATTGCAGTAGATCAGAAACAAAAGTGGGCCAAGTATGGAGCCTTGTGGTACGCCAGATGTAACCGAGAGCCAATCGGAACACACGCCATGAAGAACTACACGTTATTTTCGATCTGTCAAGTAGCTTCGAAACCATGCAAGGAGAGGCCCGCCAATTCCGGAATTCTCGAGTTTCTTCAACAACAGATTGTGTGGAACTTTGTCAAAGGCTTTCGATAAATCCAGGTAAATAGCATCGACTTCCTTACCACTCGCAACATGTTCCAGAATGTCATGGTACACTTCTAACAGTTGGGTTGTTGTTGATTTCCCGGCCCCTCATGAAACCGTGTTGCATCTTGTAGATGAGTGGTGCTAAGTGGTAGTAGGAGTGACTGTGAACGCAACGTTCTAGAACTTTAGACAACACACAGAGTAGAGAAATCGGCCGATAATTGCACGAAAGTGAAGGATCGTCTTTCTTAAATACGGCCGTGATATTAGCACGTTTGCAATTGATGGGTACTACGCCAAGTGAGAGAGACATGTTGAACAGTCTGGTTAATGAAGGTGTGATAACATTTGCAAGTTCAAACAACAATCTACTTGGAATCCCATCTGGTCCGCAAGCCTTTT